TTGTTAGTTGCAAAGTTGTATCTTACCCATCATGATCCCATGGACAATGTTCCTCCAGGCCTTCCTGTTCTCTACCATCCTCTGGAGTCCATTTAAGCTCACACTGACTGCTTCAGTGACTCCATCCAGCCATCTCATTCTCATCTCATTTTTCTTTTGCCCTCAATCTTACCTAGCATTAGGCTCTTCTCCAGTGAGTCCTTCCTTCTGATTAGGTGGCCAAAGTATTTGAGTTTCATCTTCAGGATCTGGCCTTCTAAAGAGCAGTCAGGGTTGATCTTCTCTAGGACTGACCAGCTTGATTGTCTTGCAGTCCAAGGGACTCACAGGAGTCTTCTCTAGCAGCATAGTTCAAAGGCCTCAATTCTTTGGCGCTCAGTCTTCCTTATGGGCCAACTTTCACAGTCATACATTGCAACTGGGATTGCCCTTTATATTGCAGTAAGAGGTTTTCAGCACTTGTCCCTTAAATATTTTCAGTCTCCCAATATTGGACAGGAGATCTTGTAAGAATGAGAACTGGAACTCTATACCGTCCTAAATTCTCTATTTACAATGGTTTATTTTACAGCAAAAACAAACAGAACAAGCCTGTCTCCCTCCTAGTCACATGAATATGTTGTCCCATACGCAGCCATCAAACCTGATCAGAACTCAAGTATTCTATGAATACTATGAATGCTTTTATGATCATTATTTCACATATATGTGAGACGTTTGTATTTCTAGCCATAACTCTCTGATTCTCCAGATGGAGAATTGAGTGTCTTAGCACATCTGTGAAGCTACTGGCAGCAGTTCATTGGAAATTTACAACGAACACATTTCATTGCAACAATTTTAATAATACATACATAGAGATATGGCCACTATGTACATCATAAAGAAAATGTATTTTACAAAAGGTGCTATTATTTTGCACATTTCTGTATTTCAGAAGTTCAAATATTAAAGTTTACTTTTTAAGTTTACTTTATTGTCATTGCACCTCATACAACGAAATTTCTGTTAATTTCAGTGCTATAATAATTCCAGTGTACTACAGCTGTTTAATGCTACTTCAAGAGACTACCTTAAATGAAGAGTAGCAGTGTGATGTAACTAATGCTATTATATTTAAATAATATCCTATTTCACTGAAGATTGTTTACAACTTGAAATGTATTCTGAATTACACACTCGTTACTTTTATTTCCCATATTTATTTTGTTCATCTCAAGAAATTATACATAATACTCATAATACTTTGTTTGGCTAATATATGTTAATGAATGCTTTATATCTATATTCAGTGCAATGAGTTAGAAATGTTTCAAGTCATTTCAGCAAGAAATAGATTTGTGGATCTGAATATATTTACCAGGAAGAAGAGGAAGGACCCCAAGTTGATTATCTTCCCTTCCCTCTTCAGTGAATGTCTGACCATGAAAATGAACAACATGGATGTCTTTGGGCCCACCCATGTTCAGCAAATGCCAGTGGACATTCTCATCTTTGTACATCTTCAAGCCTTGCAGCTGATAAGGGATCCCATTAATTGCTAAAAATAAAAATATGAACAGATTAAACAAAAAGCATTGCAGTTCAATTTAATATAGCAGATATCAGATTAAAAATCCAATAGCATTGTGAGGATTTGGGGAAAGCTTATTTTTTTCTCCTAGTTCTCATTAGGTTTTCAACTGCTTTTAAGTATAGTAGTGCAAGAAGAAATAGAAAACATATTTATTTTTTAACTGCTTCATTCACAAATGTCCAGCATGGATTGGTCTTAATAAAATACAACAAAAGTCATTAAAATAAGACAGATTAAATAATTCTTGGTACTGCAATATCATAAAGATGAATTACAAGTTCACCTTGCATTTTTGTAGTTGCTTGGAGCTATTTTCTAAGCTTCTAAGGATTATGATACAGCCAAATTTGGAAATTCCAGTGGCAATATAGTAGATTTATAGTTTAAATATAGATTTTATCAAAGCAAATTATACAAAGCTTCTTGAAAAGCTTCTTGAGAATCATTATTTATCTTGCTTGAGCAGGAGGTTAGATTGGAAGGTTGTCCTTCCAACTCTGTTATTTTAGAATTATGATGCAGCCATAGAAAGGGAGATAAAATAACCAAGCAAAATAATTTAGATTTGAATAGCCCCACGGCTGTTTGTTACAGTCAATAAGATACTGGATTAAAAAGAGGAAGACCCATATTCCAGTATACCCACTCACTCCACTATGCAAGCTTTGAGCCAGTCATTCTGACAGCCCAGCATACCTTAATAGATTGTTATCAGAGAAAAATAAATCTTATAGTGTGCTTTGATATAACTACCTATCAAATAAAAATGCTATACTTATATAGTTGTGTTAATAAAAAAGTTTCACTGAAAATCTCAGTCACAGAACTATTAACACAATATTTGGGAACTTTATCATTATTAGTTGGATTCCACCTGTTATATACTCTGGTTTCTCTTCAGATAATATAAATCTTTCATATATGAATTAATGGAGCATGGTGACTCATGTGGTTAGGACACTGTGTAGGAAGTTAGCAAGCCTGCATTTGAGACCAAGTGTTGTTGTGGGGTAAAGTTGAGCTCCTGTCTTTCACTCTAGCTCCTGCTGGAAATATGAAGGTACCCCCCTCCAAGTGGGCATCCCCAAAGGTGATGTCACCAGATAATCCTTTCAACCCAGAAGCGCTTCGGTGCTTCTGATATAAGGGTTATGCTATAGGAGTTCAAGGCACCATTCATAGCAATTCCTCCTTCTGTTCCTATCCTCCATATTAGAGGTGGTATTCCGCTGGTTCTCGCCGGTTCAGGCGAACCGGTACCAGCAGTTGCAGGAGGCTCTGCCCACCCACCCTGACATAATGTGTGAATACTGCGCATGTGCAGAAGACAATGTGCATGCGCAGATGAGGCACTCACATTTGCGAAGTGAATCCCACTCCGCTGCATATCTACCCTGTAGGATTGAGCCAAAGTCTTCTTTATAAAGATGAAGATATATTTTTTGTGTTTCTCATCAAATAGCATGAAGTTGTATTTAAAGAGAGAAAAAGGATAATGATAGAATCTAGGAAGTGGGAAAGAATCTTATCTATATACTGTAAGGTAGTTTAAAAAGATATGTATTTAAATTTGTTTTATTTAGATACAAAGACTATAAGAGAAAGTAAGATCTAATAGATTTGATATTAATACAAGCAATCAGTTAACAATTGAGCTGATTGTTTTTAACAATGGATAAATACAGATCTATGCTATTATTAGGAAAATAGAAAAAAATGTAAATGTAATTCTTATTTTCTTAAGAGCTGTGGTGACGCAGTGGTTAGAATGCAGTACTGCAGGCTCACTTTGCATTACATTGACAGAGTTTGATCCTGACTGGTTCAAGGTTGACTCAGCCTTCCATCCTTCTGGGATCAGTAAATGAGGGCATATTGTTGGGGGCAATATGCTGACTCTGCAAACTGCTTAGAGAGTGCTGTAAAGCACTATGAAGCAGTATATAAGTCTAAGTGCTATTGCTATATATATAAAGATAACATTGAGTATTATGTTGCCATTAGCATGAAAATGATTTATTGTACGTGGAAATCTTATACAAGAGAAATGGAAATATTTCTACCAGGAAATGTGTGGCGAGATTGGACTCCTAGAAGTCTCTCTGTACGGGTCCTTTTGTCAGATTTTTCAAAGTACCAGCTTCTCTCCTCATCAAAGACCATAAAAAGCAGGACAAATTCCCTTATGTCTATTGGCCTGTTGTACTCATCAATAATGCCTTTGTGGCAGATCAAAATAGGTCCAATCAAGCCAGAGTGAATATCTTTTTCCTGCAAAATATATTTTAATGTGATTTAATTTTTCATGTTAAAAAAGAAACACAAAAATGAACACTAGTAATATATAGTAATATACTAAAATGAACATTTAGTAATAGCATATATAATCAACCAAACCCAGTATGAAAAATAATTATTTGGCAATACAAACCAACATGCATATATTTAATCTTAAAGAGAAATAAACATGGATATTCAATCAATATTTCTATACAAAATATAGATAGTAAAAGACATCATCTCTTTGGAAAATATAGCTACTAAATTGTGATGAAATTCAATTCTATTTCTCCTTCATTGGCTTAAAAAAAAAGATCAAAATTTAGGGAAAAGAATACAAAACCACAATTCAAAACAATACTAAAAAAAATGGTGATCTAAATAGAAATCATTGTTTTTCATGAAAGGAATTGCAAATGTAAAATAAAGCTAAAGAGCAAAATGCACATGCTAGAAGTTAGATAAGTATATATTCTTCTTTAAGGTTAAATAAAATGTATTCTCTGATTATTCCGTTTTCTTTTTAAAAATATTCTACGACATTTATCTTACCGGATTTACACCAGAGTAATAGGCCCATGTTTTACATTTTTCCGTGTCATCTGTTGGTCCTGCCCGTTTGGTGACTTGCCAAACATATGTGTATGTGCCATTTGGCATAATTGCATCATCCTTTTTGAAAAATTCAGGAGAATGGTCGTCATAGCTTCTGCCTTCAGAAGATTTCTCATAAAGAAGGCCATGAGCATGAAGTGAGTATGGTCTAGAGGCCAAATTTTTGAACTGAACCTAAAGAGTTGAACAGTCAATGATTAATACAGAGGCTTAAAAAAAAAGATGCACAGAAAAGTTTCAACCGTTTGCAGTTTTATAGCCTGAATCTCTGTCAGAGATTGTAGTGTTTCAAAGTACCATGTCATGCCTTGAAACAATTGTTCTAAATGTCGTATGAATAACATAAATTACAATAAGTCTAATTTATTATTTTCTATTTTGCTAGATAGATACATCCTGATTGTATAAAATATGCTGGTACAACTTTGCAGTCCCCTTAGAGTTAAAGGCCTGTTCTGGCAGTTCTTCTTTTTTATATCTAAAATGTCCATTGCAGTCTAGCAAGTGCTTCCCTCCTCCTTCCTCAGGGCTTCCCAAATTGATGATATGGGACTGAGTATGAGCACAGGTTTATTCAAACTTCAAAACAGAAAAAGCCATCTCGGAGGAAAGCTGAGAATTCCTATAACAGAATGGTTCTATGAAAAAGAGAAAAGAAACTAAGATCCCCAGCTTCTTACATTTCAAGATGTGTTTCCAGTATGTTAGTTGGCCCTATTTCTGCTGGTGCTCATCCCAAATAATGTGAAAAGCACTAATCTGATTCCAGTACTGTCTATGGTGAATTTTGTTACATGCTTTGTATAAATAATTTAATTATTTAACATACAGTTGTAAGAGACAAAAATTTGAAATAGGCTTTTTAAAATCTGAAATTGATTCTGTTTATTACAGTTCAAATATTTTTCATGTTTAATGTTGTTAAAAATTCAAAGTATTCTTTTATTAAAATATTTTGAACATAGACTTACTTGGATTACATCATCCACCTCAGCCCTAATGATAGGACCCAGTATACCAAGATGTTTTTCATATTCCCCTCCAGGACTAGGTGTCTGGAAAGTATCATCAAGATAACTTCGGAAAATAGCTTTTTTGAATGTGGTCCTCAAAGGGCGACTTCTCACTGTACTAAGGATATGAAAGATTTGGGGAAGGAAAAAATGGAATTAAAAAAAATGTATATACTATATATCAAGTACTTGGCATTTTTGTCCATCTATCAATACTTCCCTAGGGTCTGGGTTAGCATATATTATTATAATATATAATTATATTATTATTATAATCACAGTTGGTTGCAGTCAGCCAGATATTTAGACTGAATTTTGCATTTTTGTTCATTTCTTATTAATATTATGGTTCATCACACTGTCAGTTGTTTAGACTAGATTTGGCATTTTGATTTTTGGTTACCTATTATTAATATTATTATTGTTTTGCCTTAATGTATTATCTGAACCCAGCCATTATAATTTATAAATCACAGATTATGAATTATCATGTGTTGTATGAACCCAGCCAATTGCAAACCATTATAATCAGGTCCATTGTCACTAGTGACAGGCTCAGATGGTTCCATTGTTGAAATGACTACTCCTATCTTCTCTTTGCCTGTGGTTTGTATGTTTATTTTTATAATATTTATCTTTTAATGTGGATTTTTATTTTTTTTATATATTGTTTTTCTGTTGTTTAATATGACACTCAGCGTCACTACGTGTAAGATGAGCAGCTGTACAAAGTTTAGTTCCTTGACTAACAAAGGGAGCTTCTCTTTGATAAACATAAATATGAATCCCAGCTAGAGACAATACCTTGTTCCTCTTAATTGTGAATTAATTAGTTTTTTCTTTTTTTAATGCTATAAGTTAATAAGCATTTATTAAGCTTACACAAAAATGATTACCGTAATATCTAACTCCTCTATTTCCAGAACATGAACTAAAAACAGATTTACACAATTGACTGATGAGTGCAATCGTACCGTGCTTACATGAAAATGTTGTCCCTCTGTGTTCGATAGGTGCATTCCTTTGTAACTGTGCATTGTGTGCAACCATATCTTCATACCTAGTACTATCTGTAAATATATTAGACTGTTAGAGCCCAAGGTGCTTTTGGAGGTAATATAAATCAATGTTCTGCCCATTTACAAGGATCTTGTCAGTATGACATCATGTCAAAAAGTTGTCCAGCCTAATTTAACTCTTAATAGAACTCTTGAAGTTATTTAACCAAATAACTCCAAAGAAAAATAAAAATCTTATCTCTTGAAACAATCTATTCATTATTAAACAAGTAATTGAAAAGTCCCCTAATTTTTATTTGAAATTTGCTTCAATATTAGTCCTACCTGGTTCTCAGTCCATACAATCATTTTTCTGGCAAAAGAACAGGAGCTGATAGGTCAGTAAGCCATAACTTTCCTACAATCAGTGCATAGTTTTCCTTCAGGAACAAGGAAATGAAAGCAAGTTCTGGGTAGTGGCATTAAATGTAATGTAATTTTCCACGCTCATGGAGAAAATCTTATTTTTCTCCTTCCAGAAAGCTCCAGACCATGATATTACCTCACTGATAGGAAGTTTCATAGTCTCTTATCAGAACTGCACACCTATTTGGAAGTCATCTGATTGACTTTCATGACCACATATATTTTTCTCTTCCAAAAGTGCAGCAATCACCGATATAATAATCCATCTACCCTTGTCATCCTTTTTACTTTCTTTTTCACTTTCCCTAGCATTACAGTCTTCTTCCAAGAACTTTGTGTAGTGTTTTAAAGGATAATTTAAGCCTGGTCATTTGTTAATTCCATTCAATTTCTGACTTTGCCATATACAGCCACTGCCATGCTGCTGTTATAATCTTCCCCTCGACCCTCCTTGATGTAGCTTATATCTGTACTTGGATAGGAGCACAAAACCATGGGAGAAATGCTTTTGGCTGCCTCTTTGCAATTTCTTCTTTTCTTTAACAAGTCTAAGAAGACGTTATGAAAATTACCTATTTTCTTAATGTTTTCTTTACTTTAAACATATTTATCTTTCTCAATTCTTTTCCTGCTTTCCACTTCAGATTCTTCTGTTTTCCAAAAAATGTTTTTGGCTGGGATCATACAATAGTTTATAATTATAATGCCTGGGTTCATAAAACACTGTTGTGATTCTTACATATCGTGGTTTGGGAATTTTCCAGAATTAGTTCTAGTATGTTCCCATACAATTTGTGTTTGACTGCTGAACAAATAATTTCTAACTTAACTACGATGCATTCAAAATTCCCAAAAAGCAATACCAAAACACATGTACTTAAAAAAGGTATATTTTCATAGCACACTGTCCAAAAACTTCAGTTAAAACATACACAATACCGTAATAACAATTTTAAAGCAAATAGTTATGTAACACTATTTTGAGTTTATAGAAAATAGAATTTTCAATCTACAATAAACTGCAATTACATTTTTTTTTATAATTTAAAATGAAGTTGTGCTAGATTTAAATGACATCATAAACCTAAGATTTTGGAAACACTTTGGCATGAATGTGATAGAAAAGGAACTTGGAAATCATCCATCCAGGTTTGATTCCATAGTTATAAATTTGTTATATTTCTGTGATAACATCTGAACAGTCCAGTTCTTCATGTCTAGCATTTCATCATAACAAATTACACTCGTTCATGGCTAATAGAGTCTTTAACATCTTAGTATGTTACTGTTAAACAAGCAATATGAAATTGAGCAATAATTAAAAAATAAATAATTCAGTCAAACCTTTTTCTGAATGGTGAGTAGTCCCACACAACTTCTTCTGCTGCAATGTAGTACCTCCTTATATTTCCTCTGTTGATAGTACGTAGGTAGCGTCCAGCTATGTCATCAGGATTACGTGCAATATTACTGTCAAGTCGAGAATCTGTGATATATGGATCATCATAATACATTAACTCATATTCAAATGAACCACTGCTACTTTCATCACTGTCTGTATTATCTATCTCATATTCCTGATAGCCACCATCTTCCACTGGAAGACCTATTGTAATAATTGGCTTGTCCTGTTTTTGTGTCAATTTGGTCTCATTTAACAACTTTGTGTGGTTGGGTTTATTGGAAAGTTGGGAATTGTTGAAATTAGCAGGTAGCTCTAGAGGCTTGAACGTCCTTGGAGTTAAAACATTTGGCTTTTTTTTCTTTCGTTGGACTTTGAGAAAATGTTGAGGTATATTGATAGTGCAGTTCTCATCTTTCTGGGTATCATTTTTGTTATTAATTCCTGGTTGGCCCAACTCAAGTTGACCATTAAAGTTATCTGTTTTCTCTTTTCTTTTGCCAGGGAACAAGGCATTTTCTTGATACGAGGCATTTCTGCTGCTGTTCTGGAATTTATTATCAACATCATTAGTGATATCTGCTAATATATCATAATTTTCTTTCTTGTCGACAACATTCCATTGCATGTCTGTGTTCTTAGGGAAGCATTTCTGTCTCTGGGGAGATGAACTTTTCCAAGTCTTTGTAGACTTTGGAATTGTTGTAGAAACAAAATTATCTGATGTGGCATCTGAAGTCAAATTTTCAGATTGTGGCATTATAGAAGGTATGGAAACAAGTTTTGGCTCAGATCCATTGTTTTTCACTGTTTCTTTATCAGCTGAAGTTATATTCATTATAATTTTGGTAAACTCAACATTTGCTGCTTCTGTTGCTTCTTCTTTATAATCATAATCATATTCATATGAAAAGTGATTGGCTTTTGAGTCATCTAAGGTAGAGTCATTTTCTGTACTAGAAAGAAATTTCATGTCCTCACTTGTGACGTTAAAAGCAGAAAGATTTCTCTTTTGTTGTACATAAAAGAGTAGAGCATACATCTCTTTAAGAGCATGCAAAGTTGCCTCTGTCAGAACTTGTGTTTCTCTCTTTTTATCCCAAATATGTTTTTCAAATGTATTTTCTTCTTGCTCCTTCATGGAAGACATTATTTCAAGGGACATTAAATCTTCTATATCTTTGCTCTGTAGTCCTCTATCGGTTTTTAAATATTCAGCAGCAAGCATTTGCTTGCAGCTATCTAAAATCTGAGTAATATTATCTTCGTTTTGGCTTTTATTAGATAGCAAGATGCCAAACACTGCAGTGATATTTGAAGTTAAAATTTCTCCTGCAAAAGATGTACAATTAGCATAGATTGTCTCAAATGCAGTTACGTAAGAATTATTTTGAGTTCCTAATTCTCCATTAGCATGCATAGCATCACTGCTGTTATTCAACACTATGTGAAAGTTTAAAGATTCATCACCAGAAGCATAGGCATCTTCTTGTATAGCTAGAGCTGTGAGATTCAATTCTTCTTCTTCAGCAACTGACCCATTAAATGATCGAAGCCCAAGCATTGAAGCTATCTTAAGTTGTTCTTCATCGTCTTCTGCCTGTTCATTGCTTGACTGTTTTGTATTATCCTCGTCAACTGAGAATCCAAATTCTTCTGCTATTTTATCTGATTCGGGGTCTGATACTACACTTCTGAGGTCCTTTTCTTTCTTTTCTTTCTTTTGTGTTACTTCTGAAGAGCCAAATCTGACAATGGTGGCAGCAATATCATCATTATCTTCTTCCTCTTGTTCATCTCTATCATCTTCATTGTCATAATTGGCATCCAAAAATCTCAGTCTCATGCCATTGCTCATCTCACGGGAACCCCATGATGACAGAAGCCAGGTTCCTACGAATGCAAAATAATTCATATTAGACAGACCCACTTGTGTTTCATAGTTTGCTTATACCTGATTACTGGTGTTAGTTCTGCAATCCATTAACAATGTTAGTATAGAATGCCACCAGATACCTGGGTCATATTATCATATGTGGTGGACATGTGTAGAAGCAAAAAAATATTGGACAAAAATACAAATGTAGTTGGAAAAGATGATAAAACAGCACATTGATTTAAAACCAGACATATTTTTATTGGGGATTTTGCCCGAAACTTACAGTAAAGGAAATGCATATTTAATTATACATGTATTAACTGCAACTAGAATTGTATTTGCACAAAATTGTAAAAGTGATGAGACCCCTACTGATGAGAATGTAGTTAGAAAAATATTAGAATGTGCAGAAATGAACAGATTAGTGCTTGCTTTAAAGAAGAAGAAACAAACTGAATATTATATGACATGGTTGGAGAATAAAAACAGAAGTGAGAAATAAATGGAGAATAAAGACTATATGTTAAGATAGAAATATAAACAATATGATGATTCTTACTAATATGATTGTTAAGATGATTATATTGAATATAATTATTATATTTTCATTCATATATATGATAAGGGAGAAATGAATATAGCTATAATGCTGATTATTATTATTATTGTAAGATTAAAGAATTATTATCAATGTAACAAATACTGTAAATTTTGACTGTAACTGCACAGAGACATTTGTACCCAGACAACACACTGTTTAATGGAAGATGAAATGTTTAAATAAAAAAAATTAAAAACCCTAAAAAAATGTTAGTATAGACTAAATTAGTATGGTAAAGCCAAATTGACTAGGAATTGTGAGAGAAATCCAGAATAACTAGAGGATACTAGGATAGGAAGGTCTTTCTAATATGCCATGGAAATATAACAGATACAAAAAATAGAGCTATAAACTCAACAATTAAAAACATGTGATACCCGTTACTGCCTTAAAAACAGTAATGTGCAAGATCGGGCTTCAGAACGGCATCTAGCCCTGATTTTTCTTTTTCTTTTAAGCTTTAGTACTGTTTTATTTTGAGGAAAGATGTAAACTCTATAGTTAGACATTATATCCATATGGAACTACATTATTAGGCAGAATAACCTGCGTCCCCTTTTCTTCAAAGCTCAAAGTTGGATGTTTTCAGAACTCTGCATCTCTTGGCTATAAAGGACCTACTAAAAACACACTTAAAACTAAAATTGAACATGAAGCGATTGTTGATTCCAGGAGCTAGACTTTGGAACTTTGGTATCATATGTGATCTGGACAGATTCAGAATCTGAATCTTAAAGTTGATATTCACAACTTACTCCTGAATAAACAATGATGTTGTAAAACCAGAGTACACATATGGTAGTAAGTTGTATCATTCAGTTGATAAACCAGGCATGTCATTCATGGACACTGATTTGGCATCATTAATACATGAACTGATAGGAGTGGATTATGAAATAAATTATTTGGAGTGGGGTCTGAAACTCCACAGGCCTGGAATTCAGCAAGACAGGAGATGAATGACACAAAGCACCACAATGAAACACTTGCACTGGCTACTGACTGTTTTTCAAGTTTAATTCAAACTGCTACAGTAGCATATACAGGGCTCAGGCCCAAATTACCATACTGTCTACTGCATCTCAATTGATCATCTTGTGTGCCACAAATATATTTAATATAAATACGGTAACTAATTCTATAATAAATCAGATATTCTGGGGTTGCTCCCTTGCCTCCTTTCCTCTTGTTAGAGTTTAGGAGAAGGCATGAAACATACCAAAAACTCAGGTCCTTCAGCACTTTGGAAATATTATGCTCATGGTTATTAAATTGCTTTTTCTACTAATTATTAGACTAAATGTTATTGTCAATAGATATTTGCAAGTTCTCATAAAATGGAACTGAGAATAATTTACACTGTATAAATGCATAGACAAAGTTTTTAAAAAGAATGCAAAAGCAGAGCTCCTTTTGTAATTCTTGAAAATAAAATCGGAGGGAATTGAGTGAATATAATAACAAATGAATAACCAGTCATTTACATAAATTGGATTTTTACACTATCATAAGAAAGACTGCTGATATCAATCTAGATTTCACCTATAATTTAATGGTGCTTATTTATTTTAATCCATGCTAGTTTTATTTTCATTCTCTTCAGTGTTTTTATGTTATTTGGTGGAATTTGTGCTTTTCTATACAATGAATTTTATAAAGTTTTTAATAATGTGGCAAGCTATTCCGAGAGCTCAATTATAGAACTATCTATACAGTCTGAAAATAATTAAACAAAGAGCTATTGTTATTTACCTAGATTGTCCATGGTTACAGTAGCTGATTCACCACTCATGGGGAAAAGATTTAAAATGTCTTGATGTTTTCCCTTGGATAAGAAGGTGTGACCAGAAAGATGTACTGGAATAATCTCATCCATTGTACCAACGCTGGTGAGGTGCCATTCAACAATTTCAGACTGACGAAACCCCAAAAGATCTGTTCTGTCTGACGCATAGCCATTGAGGGCTAAAATAAAATTTAAAATGCATTTAGGAGTGCAATCTTAAGAACAGCTATTTAAAAAAATGAATGTCAATAGTTAAATAGAAGCTGTTCCAAGTTAAATGACTTTAGAATTAGAGACATAAAATTAATATTGTAAAAATACCATATTTTCCATATTTATTTTTATTTTCATTGTTCATTTAATCTTAATGGTGTTAACCCAAAACAGAATAGTGACATAGGTTACTACTCACTGTACATAACATTGGACTTGTAAAATTTAGGATCATCTTTCTTAACAGTGGAGGAATTGCTGCTGTATTTCTTGATATTGTCGTCCAAGTACCAGCTCTTGTTTTCATCAAACACTGCAAAGACGGCATGCTGTTCCACATCAGCTTTTTTCTGCACAGCAGTAGGCAGAAAATAGATCAAGTTCAACTAATAGAATGATACACCATTTGACATGCATTTCCTTGTTTTAAAAAGCAGCAGTATAACAACCTAATTTATAACATTCAAATGAAATAAAGCTGGAATGACCAACAAAAGGGGATTGTTTAGAAACAGATAAATAAAATAATTATTTGTATCCAGAGATAGCCTGAGTATTATTATCGATGTCATTGTAATGCTGAACCATATTATATGCAAGGCTTTCTTTGTCAAAGGCAGATTGTTTAGATTGTATTTGAAGTAGCAGATTAAATGAAACTTGATTTGGGTTTAAGTGAACAGCTGGGAGTGCTGTTGGTGTATGGTTTTCCCTGTTGCCCATGGCATGCATCAGCCACTGGATTCCATTGCTGGGTTGGCAATAGGTCCCTAAGGCTGTTGGTGAAGGGCAACTTCAGTATGCCATCTAGTGACACTGAATCAAGGGCTGGGCAGGAATTCATGGCCTCTATGTGAATTATGGACTTGTCGCAAATTATCAAAAGCCCAACCGTATTAGAGGCCACATGTTAAATCTCTTTTTTCCTCTCAGAGCAACTGAGATTGATCTGGCAATGGAGAACATCAACATCTGTCCTAGTTGCAGAGAGCCAAGGCCCAGTCAATCAGCCCACCCATGGGGATTTATAGATCCAGTGGGGTTTCAGAGAAAGCCTGGGGCTTTTTATGAATATCTGGTGTGTGGTCAGCTGAGGCCTACATTCCTGCATGGAATGGGCAGGTGGCTGGAGCCTTGGATCATATCACTCCTATGTGGTCTCCTCTGGGGTGCTGATCTTGGGGTGCACCTTGGTTTAATAAGAAGCTCTAGGAGATTAAGCACTAGAAGAGACTCCTGTAGTGCTGTTGGAGGAAGATTCAGAGCCTGACCAATAATGGAAATGCCTGTGTTAGCAATTATCTCTTGGTGATAAGAGTCCTTCGATTACAATTAAGCAATGTATTTTATCAGGATCTTGAAACCACACCTTTCCTGTTGTAGTGACTGCCCCCTGGAATGAGGTTCCCTGTAAGATCCAAGTGGTCCTTTTATTCTGCTGTTGTTTAGAAGGGCTATAAAGATCTAGCTCAGTGTTTCTCAACCTTGTCAACTTGAAGATGTCTGCATTTGCTGGCTGAGGAATTCTGGGAGTTGAAGTTCAGACATCTTCAAGTTGACAAGGTTGTGAAACACTGATTTACCCAGGCTTGGTGAGGGAGAGGGCTACCCCATTACACTTGCCATCTCTTATCTCTCTATCTTTTAAATTTAAACATTTGCTACAAAACCATAGTCTGGGGAGCCTGACAATTCATATTGAAAGCCCATGTTGAAAAGGAAGACAAAGCATTCCCAACCCCTGGGGTTCCCCAGTAAATGACAACTGCAGAGCCATACTGCTCCTGAATCTAAGTAAGTTGTATCAATCATTCTGCTCCCTCAATTGAAGCAGTTGACAATACCTGTACCCCCCTGCTGTCGAGCGCCTTGCGTTTACAAACCAGAAGCGGCCCAATCAGTCCTGAGGCAATATCTCTTGTGATATCCACAGCACTATGATATAACTTAGTAATGCACTCAGAATCCTTTGCTGTGGGTTCATCTGTATCAAGCACAGTCCATTTATATGTGTAGACGTCTCCTGGTTCAACTGCTTTGCCCTGAGTTATATTCTCTAAAACATAAAAGCAAAAAAGATCATGTAAAGCATGGGTAAGGAAATGAAAATTTCCAGTTGCTGCTCAATTTTCTAAAGAGACTGAATGGTCAACAATGATGCATGTTCTCAGTTGTAGTTCAACAATACATGGAGAATTATAGTTCTTTACTGTTAGAGATCCCCCCCTCCCCGCTGACAGACTGACAGAGGTTTCCACCAAGGTCCTCTGTTCCGGCGGGAACAGAGGTTGANATATATATATATATATATATATATATATATATATATATATATACACACACACACACACATACATTTTCAAATTTGGGGTTAAATGTTTCTTTTAGTTGTACGTATCAAGCAGGAAAATCCATCCTAATTCCAGTTAACTCATTAAGTTTAAGTCACTCCTTCCAGCTTGTCTTCATGGAGTAAAATATTTTTCTTCTCTGCAAATTTTATTAAAGTTTTATAGGCCTTTCTTTTTATCATGAGATCCTCAACCTTGTTAATGTCCTTAAAGAGAAAGTCCCAAATTTGTCTTTTTTCTCGACGCTCTTCTTTCAGTTCTATTGAAAGGCTTACATTTGAACCATAGTAGTGAAAGTTAATATCAGGTTCTTCCAAAACTGCAATAAATTCCTCTGCATTTTCAGCTACTTATGAAATTGCCTCGGCAGTTTGATAACATTTTCCACATGTTTGTATCTCAGAAGTAATTTGAAGGGATTTTTTTATCATCAGAGAACAGCTGGTCAACAAATTGGCGTATTTTATTTAGAGACCTTTTAAATATATCTCTAATACTTTGCTCCACCATCTTGGCTTCCTCTTTTAATCAGAATCAGATTTTATCCACCTGAAGTTAAGAAGATCAAGTTACCAGTTATTGCAATAATAAACTAAAATCACAGGTTTCAATCTTTTATCTTTTTCTGTCAGCTTTTTTTTTCTTCCTTATTTGGCTTGCCTTAGCTGCTTTCTTCCTTGTTCTTTGAGTCAAAAAGAAATCCCTAAAATGGCGCAAGTCTTCAAAAAGGCATAGCAGGCTGTAGCTAGAGAAAGCCTCTTTTTAAGTTGACTTTAAAAATATTAAAAGTTGCTGAAGATGATTAAGAAGAGACTCTCTCTTACTCTCTCTTTGAAAGGTGAATTTCAAAATGGTGGCTTCTTCAACCCCAAATAGATTGCCAGCCGTCCCCTCCCAGCTTTTGGCACGCAGATAGCTTCGGAGTTCAACTCCAGAAGCTGTTTGCCGGCTTACAGCTACATTGGAGGGTTCAGAGGGGAAGTTTTTCAACACACCCTGGCCAGGTGTGTCATGAAAACTGATGGGATGCCAGTGCCACTAAGAGTCTTTGCACAGCTATAGAAAACATCTGAGTGAAAGCATTTGGAAGAACCAATGGAAGCAGTGGTGGGTTATAGGCGGTACGCCCCGGTACGGGCATACTGGAGCCAGCCCAGATCACATGATACTGTTCTGGTATGGTGCTCTGGAGGGCCCACCTGCCCGCCTCAGCTCCTTACTGGTGTTTAAAGGCTTCTGTGCTTCCATGCAGGTGCATGGCACATAAAGCACCTGTGCGATGCTCTGTGGAGCAGCTGGTGTTGTGGAGCGTCGTGGAGGCGCTAAGACACACGTGGACCGCGCGCATGTGCGTACGTCCATGAGGACGCTGCCGGCCCTGTTCCAACCCTACCGGAGTGAAACCGGTTGGAACGGGATTTGAAACCCACCACTGAACGGAATCAGCAATATTATTGATTTCTCCAAAAGAAGGTGGAGGTGATGCCTTTCAAAACCAAACTCCATCAACTGTGGATGATACTATCCCAAAGGAAAGCCCATGTCATTCAAAGGGGTGATATAATGACTGTCTTCTGGTACTTGAGGGGCTATTACAGAGAAGAGGGGATTGACTTATTGTCCGAAGTGTCAAAGGGCAGGAGAAGAAGATTTTTTTAAAGTAAGAGCCAACCTAGAATTAAAGAGAAATGTTCAGAGAGTGAAAATAATTAATCACTAGAACAGCTTGCTTCCCAAAGTTGTGGATGCTCCATCACTGGAGGTTTCCCAAAATAGACCGGATTTGATCAGGGTGGTATAAATGTTCCTGCCGTGAACAGTGACTTGGACTTAAAGACCTCTGAGGACTCTTTCAGCCCTATGATTCTATGTTCTGTGTTTTAAGGTTAAAGTAACAGTCTGGGTGGGGGGGGGGTCTCCCAACTTCTGTTGGGAGGCAAATTCTGTCAGGCATTCTATCTCTTCCTGAGTCCTTATGCTTTCCGATTTTTTTTTCTTTCAAAATAAAGAAGACACAGAAGGATTTTTGCATAGATATTGATCAAGTTGAGGATGTAAATTTGACAGGAACATTATAGGGAAGTGACTGTGTACTTCTGGAATTCCATAAATTTTGAATTTACTAAATTTAAATAAAATCAGAAGATAATTTTGAAGGTGCTAAAGAAGCTGATAGAGGGAAATGCTCAAGAGTTTCTTAAAAATGACAATGGAAGGCAAATTTGCAATCTTTTTTGGAGAGAAAAAGAAAATGGACAAGATAATAGATCAAGCACAACCCTGAAGTCTTTGGAGATGGAAATTTTGTGCTCATTAAGAAATCCAGGCCAGCCTATTCATAAACAAAACGCTTTCAGCCTAACTCCCCCAGGTTGGAGTTTATGGGATTAATATTTTACACCATCACCACAAAGGACAGGACAGGATCTTTAGGGTTAGGGCTGGGATTAACCCATCACCATTGAAATAGTAAAAGACACAAGGCTCACTACATAACACAACCCCCTGGAGCATCTCAATCACCAAACCCTATAAAAATCCATACAGACATTCCAGAAACATTCTGCTGTCACTGAAGCATCTGGAAACCAAATAAATAGAGAGCTTCTTTTCTTTATTCCCAGCATTTTTCTTTCGGCTTGGAACCAGTCTGCATTTTTTTTTCCAAAACAGGAAAAAATATTTGCTTTTATTAATTTAAAGACAGGGTTGTTTTTTTTTACTTTTTGTTTGCACTTAGGTTACGATTTTAAACTAATAACTAATTTTTAAATGATTGGAACTTAAGAATTAACAAATCAACTAATTATTCTCAAATCAACTATTCTCTGAAAGTTCATATAAATCAGAGTGGATTCCATTTAAATCAAGTCGATTTGTATCACGATTTAAATCATGTTTTAAATCCCTAGGAAAAAGGCTTGATTTAAATCAACTTGGTTTAAATCATAATTTTTAAAGAGCAGCTGTCATCTCTATCCTGCAGTGACTCTTCCACTGACCTGCTGGTGACTCACCGACTGTCCCAATATTGCAGAATATACAGCCTCATGCTACAAAACGAAACTCCATTTCGTGCTGAATAAACTAAATTATGAATGCATCTTAAATAGAACACTATCTTTATATATAGATGTTTACTTCAAAAGCATTTTATTAAAATAAATTGAATGAAAATAAAAAAAGGTTTAAATTTTTAAAAAATCCAATTTAAATTTAAAAAACTGATTTTTTTTAAAAAAACATTGATTTTAGCCACCTTTTGATCAATAATGAAGTGAAGCTCTTGCCTTCTAGATGCACCATCTCTACTAAACTGTCTTTGCCTTAAATCACCTGACTGTAAGTGTGGCTGCTGACCTCTCTTAGAAGTACAGTTTAGTGATGCCAGACAAGGACAGGATGGCCTCACTGTATTTTGAACACACAGTCAGCCCCATTCTCATCTTTTCTTCTGCTGAAGCAACTAGAGCTGAACTAAAACAAGGGCGCTCCCTACTGGCCAATAAAGTTTATCACAAGGAAGAAAGAGGAAAGAAGAGGAAGGGACAGAAAGAGGAGAGAGGATTGGAGGGGGAAGAGAAAGAGAGGAGTCGGGGAGAGGCAAGGGAAGAAGGAAAGGGAAAGGAGAGGAGGAAGGGAGGGAGGGAGGGAGGGAGGGAGGGTGAAAAGAAGGAAAAATAAGGGGGTGATAACATAAAACTAGGTGTATGGGATGGCAAGCAAAGCAACCCAGAATATATATTTTAACCTTTTATAAGGAAAAAATTATGTAAAAGTGATAAAGGTAAATACGAATAGTAGCTAGGTGAATGTATACCTGTATGTAAGAGAATAAAAATTAAAAACTCCTTATAAAAAAGGTGTATTACATGCATGGTAAATCACCTGGGATTTCTGGTCAGTTTACCTTCATGAAATTCTCTTCTTGTTTACAGCAAAAACAAAAAGTCTCTCTGGCATTTGTCAGTCCCTGGATATCCACTTCACTCTCTCAGGTTTCAATAGTTGGTAGAAATGCTGCTCATTTGGTGACAGAAGGATCGGGCTTATGCAAATCTCACAGGGAAATCTTTTCCAAAACAAAAACAGCAATTTGCAAGACAAAGAGAGACGTAAGATAAACTGAGTTAAGAACGATAGAAAGGAAGGGGGGGGGGAGCAGTTGGCAAGTGTGTTGGCAGAGCTGGACGGAGTCAGACCAGCAGCAATGGTTGTGTTGATTCAGCAGCTGAACTGTCAAATGTTTCCTTTCCCACAATTGTGTTACTGTTGATGCAAGGATCAGACATAACAAATCTGGGTGCAAAATTCCAGATGACTAGAAGATACAGAACATTCTAAACTATTGCTTCCACCTAGTGGCCATCTGTAGTTTTGCAGCCAGATCTTATGCTCTTAAGAGCAATTTGCTTGGTTTCAGGAATGTTCGCTTGTTAGTTTGTATCTTTGTTGCAGTGGTGAAATCCAATTCCCTCCCCCAACGGTTCTGTGGGCGTGGCTTGGTGGGGGGTGTCATGTGACTGGATGGGCATGGCCAACTTTTTTTTCACTTTCAACTTTTTTTTTAAGCTTTTTAAAGCATTTTCCCCTGCCTGTTTGCCCAAACCTGCAGGAAAAAAATCCTTTAAAAAGCAGATAAAAAGCTTCCAACAATCACAGCTGAGTCGCGCAATCCTCAGAAGCTTATTTTTTACTACCAGTTCGCAGAACCAAGGACAATCATCCCTACTGGTTTGGCTGAACTGGGCCAAACCGGAAGGATTTTACCCCTGATCTGAAGTATTAGTACTGCTTTATAAAGCCTTAGTAAGACCACACCTTGAATACTGCATCCAGTTTTGGTCACGGCATTACAAAAAAGATGTTGAGGGTTTGGGAAAAGTGCAGTGATGAGCAAGTAAGATGATTAAAGGCCTGGAGACTAAAATATATGCAGGATTTGAGTTTGGCTAGTGTATTCCAGGTTGGCAGTTCTGTGGTTTGAATCCCTAGCACCGCATAATGAAGGGAGCTCTTGCTACTTGTCCCAGCTTCTGCCAACCTAGTAGTTCGAAAGCATGTAAAAATGCGAGTAGGAAAAATAGGAACCACCTTTGGTGGGAAGGTAACAGTGTTCCATGCAGCTTTGGCATTTAGTCATGCTGGCCACATGACCACAGAGACATCTTCGGACAGCGCTGGCTCTTCAGCTTTGAAACGGAGATGACTACTGCCCCCCCCCTAGAGCCGGGAACGACTAGCACATATATGCAAGGGGAACCTTTACCTTTCAGTATATTCAAGTATTTGAGGGATTGCTACAAAGAGGATGGGGACAACGTATTTTTCAATGGACCAGAAGGCAGGACATGAAACAATGGTTGGAAACTCATCAAGGAGAGAAGCAACCTGGAATTAAGGAGAAACTTTTAAACAGTGAGGACAATGAACCACTGGAAGTGCTTGCCTTCAGAAGGTGTGAGTGCTTCATCACTGGAGATTTTTAGAAGACAGTCATGTCTGAAATG